AACACAACGGGGAACAGTATTAAATTTCAGTTAATCTCATCAACGCGCTTAAGTAACAAGGCTTTTACATGTCCTTGAGTGACGATACCTAATAATAGTACATTATATAATACCTACATTAACACTATACACACATACGCCAGCAAGACGTTTATATAAAATTTGTTTTGAAAATTTTAGTGTTTAACTCGCTTTGGCCTTAAACGGTTGGTGAAGTGGGAGCAAGCATATGTCTCGTTTCTGTTCCATCTAGCAAGCTTTCCTTTGTTATTACATTATTTGAAATAGTAGACAAAACATATTGCGTTGACTCTTCCACACTCGGAGTACAACGACTTTTTGTGTTTTATTGTGAACATTAAACTGTACAAACACCGTCAGCTGTAAGTGTACATCGGTGTACGACAGAACATGCTTAGACACTGTTTAATTAGAAAATGCCAAATTCATTGAGTTAAGTATTATAAAATGTATTGGTCACACACTAAAATTGAACCAAATTTAAATTCCAAAAAAACTTCCAATATAAAACATTATCTGATAAATGTATTAGGGACCTAGTTGAATAGAGCCCACGCTTTTCTTTTTAGTCAACAATTATAGATGTTTAATATTATTTTAGATTTTAGTTGATTTTCGATTATTTTCAAAGTAACTGACATTAAAAAAAAAATGTCTTACAATTGATTGGTAAATTGTACTTGTAGTAAAATTATTTTTTACTATTCTTCAGAAAAGCATGATTTAAAAAAGTTTTTATATGTGATAGAACAAATTTAAAGGGGCTTTTACGTCAAATTTTGAGGCTTATAAAATAAAGATGACCCTAATATATAAAAATAAAAAAAACATTACTTTTTTTTGTTCCTTGTTAACGAGTTGGTGAAGAGTAAAAATTATAGTATTTACTAATATAAATTTTTTACATTGCCCAGACAACTTTGCGAGGACCGTTTTTAACCACAGACCGAAGACATTCCAGCTTTTGACATCAGTTTCCTTACCTTGTACAGTATGTAGTCAGGATATATAAATAAATTTTGATCAACCTCTCCCTTGAAGAAAAGGCATGCATATGTCTTACCTGATTTTCTGTTCCTTCTTTCTCTTCGCCTCGCTTTCACTTTTACTTTTACTAGAAATTAGTGATAAGACGGGTTAAATTGTTTACACCGTCAAAACTAAATTATTTCCACAGAGTAATATAGACTACACATTGTAGAAGTATCTAATTTTTTCAGTTTGAAAAAAAATTATGTTTCGAAAACCTGCTCATATAAACTACACGCGACAAGCACGATTAAGATGATATCATCTTCAATCGCGGGGATGAGTATCATTAAAACATAACAGAAGTAGTGGCACCGCATTGTCTACTCTAATTTTGGATTAACCCTCATCCACAAGACATATTCATGTGGAAATTATTTTACTAATTGAAACTGAATTTAAAAACTTACTTATTTAATATTTAAAATACATCTATTTGAAACTATTGTTTGAATTTCTACTCAAATAAAAACAAAATTGGCTTTACTATATTTTCAGTTGGTCGCTTTTGTTTTTAATATAATAATTTTAATTTGTATTTTAATAAAAAAATGATTTATGTAATGCCCAGGTTTGGTAAAAAACGAAACGTCAAAAAATCCATGTTAAATAATGTTTACGGCTTCGAGGAAGAGCTTTAAGCGAATATCATTACACTTTTTATTACATCACGTTTTTTCATCTCTTATCTCTTTTTGCTTGCAGTTACCACGGTCGGCTTTATAGTACACTAATAACGAGGTCCGGCTAACTATACACAGTATGTCAGGACATAAGACGTTTTTCGAACCGGTAAAGGATAGGAAGATGTTGACTCCATTACCGTTTACCATTCCGGGAAAACTCCACTCTTAAGAGTGCCGTACAAATTTTATATTTTAAAGTCAGTGACACGAATACTAAATGCCGCAAGACCAGATAAAAAACGCACCTTTGAGAGTCCTGCACTTTAATAAAAAACTTACTGGATAATCAAAACTAATTGCAAGTTTCTAAAAAATCCAAGGAATTGGTTATCATATTTATTTATTTTTTTTTTTTTTGATCAAATAAAATATTTAAACTATTTTTGACTTCATATTATTATATACACAGTAACCTAACAAGCAAGATGAATTACCTCGAAATTTCGCGTACGGTTCTCTTGCCGTGTCTTCTGAATGCTAATGAAATGCTATTATGTCAGCATATGCCCTAAACTATTTTTTGTAGAACACAAAACGGTGACGTCCGAATATTGGGCCTATGCTAAGCGTTTGTGTTGAAATGATTCGGTTATACTATTACAAAAATGTGTTGCTAAACGTCACGGAGAACGATGTTATTTTTCACAAAGGCAAACGTGAAATGCATATTTAACTCAAGTGGAACGATGCCACGATATTTTACTTTAAATTATTATAATATAATGTAACCGGAAACGGCGAGTTTGTCTGATTTATACGAAAACCAAAACAAATGTTTTAACGTTTTCTCTCCTCGACCGTTGGTAAGTTTTGAATTTTGACAACAGAAGCAAATAATGATATTACCGTTTTGAATATTGATAGAATTTTATCAACAACTTTATTGTATATAATTAATTTTTTAAAAAAATAGTAATAACATCATTTAATTCAACTGAAAAACAGTTCCCGTTCAATTTATAGATTATGCGTTACCAACTTTTAACATACATCCTAAATCCGTTGTGTAACGTTTGGTAACAAAATTCAGTCAAGTTCCTTCGCATGGTATACTTGATTCAAATTGAATGTTTGTTTATAAAAATGTTACTACTCGATATCTTCTGGTAAATAGTGATGTTATCGTTATTGTGTGTTTAAGCCCTAAAACTTACCAAGAGTAGTTGTAACCACATAACAACATTTTTTTCTGAAAATTGTATTTTAAAATGTTGGGTGGGCTTTACATAAGTAACGGAGGCTTTTATTTGCACCACTAGTTGTATAGTATGTTCATTGTTCATATTTAACATCAACAATAGATAATAAATATAATTATTACATTTTTTGTTCAAAACTGTGATACTTACAAGAAAAATATGATAACTGAAAACTATTGGGCTAGAGTAACATAATTGTGTTTGTAATAATACTGTGTTTAAAAGGTAATGATAAAAATTCCTAAGCGTTATAAGAAAAATATATTTATATATATAATTTTATTTTGAAATTATAGTCAAAATGTTTTAACAAAAGATCTGAAAACATACTTAAGTTCCTCAGAAATTCTTCTAAAAGAACTTTCTCACTTAGCGGCATCATAGCGATATGATTAAGCATGGATTAAACTATTGTGATATTATATAATAATTTGCTGGAATGCTTATATGTAGGCATTTTGCCTATACATTGCGCCGTCTATAAATCTTTGTGTATGTCTTTTATATACACGAGTGGCGAGACTTTTTTCGCATTATCGTTATTCGAATAGTTAAAGCCCAAGACAATTCTGCATAATATGTATAATTGCTAAAATATAATTTTTCTGTCTTTATGCATCGGCAAATTCAAAGACGGTAACAAAACATACATCATTCGCCCAAAAAGATCTAGTGCAAAATAAAAACAGATTTTTGACGCATTATACCGTTTACCTTTCAATATCCATCACATTATCGAAAAGTTTCTAATTTGTGAGCATGCATGTATCGGCAAAAACATAACTAATCCCAACAAATAAATATACTTCTACCCAACACTCCTTTTAGCATTAAGATATTATTATAAATTTAATATAATAATAAAATGTGTATTGATCGTTTCTTATTACATAATATATTTCGTTGTGAAAGAACATGCAGCTCATAATAAAAACCTTTCCGATAATTGTATAAACAGCAATATAAATATTTTATTGGCCGTTTAAGTTTTACGAGCAGGAAGTGTAAAACTAGAGTAGTAAAAGGTAGATTTATCAGTTTTTTTATTCCTCATAGAGCTAAAGAATTCAGTTTTAAAAAAGGCACATGTTACACCTATTGTAGTGCATAGTATTTAATATTTATGTACTTTGTTTTATTTTTTTTTCTATAAATAAGATTGTTTTAAAAAACGTGAAACCAGTTACATAAAAATAGCGGACGGGGTTGCGTTTTCTGCTTTCATCTATAAAGTGAATTGTATTTTATTGATCTACTGAACTATAAAAGTATTTCAAAACCGCTGAAATGAAAAAAAAATACTAAATAGGTATTATATGCTGATGTTATAAATAAATCAAAATTACACAGACATAATAAAATATATCACATAAACCATATTTTATTAAAATTTAAACAAAACAATAATCACAATGATTAAAGTTTACCGAAGAGATGTAAGTCGAATGATTAATGGTCGTTTGCATCAACTTTAAATTAAAGAAAACTTTATACTAAAAATTGAAGTAAAACTTTAGACGGTTGGGTCTTAACTCTGCCTTCGTCGATGGCATACTTTATGTTTATAAAATCAACATAAGGGCAATTTTTCCTATCACATACTTATCTTTATAGCACAGCAAAGGCTTTCTTGGATGTTCTTTAATCTAGATATAATATGTTATACAGCTCTTTTCTTTCTTCGTCTTGGCCATGGTCGGACTCACGGGGGTTCGCGAAATTACAGGATAACACGAGATATCGTGCAGTTATCGGTAATCGCGACTATTCTCTTACACATGTAAGATTCCAGAGTTAGGTTATGTATAGCGGTCACACCTTTTGCGGTGTCTGTCGGCATACACAAAAATGATAAACGCCGAAGAGATTCTTTATGGCCCCGCCGGGTGTGCTTAAGGGTCTAGCTCTTGTGTGAGTGTGTGTGTTTTTGTAGTCTCAGCCTTGAGAAACATTAAGACGAGGGAGACGACGGACCGGCGGTTGTCCGGCGCACACGGGGCGCAATCGCCGACCAAAGGGACCCCGTCTGTCTGTTCCACGGCAGTCATTCGTCCGACCGCGTTACAGGTGCAGTCACGTTTGCCACGTTTCACCACCCGTGTGGTTTTTTCATACGTAAGATCGTCATAAAAAAAATTATACCTACTTGGAAAAAACGACTAAGACGGTCACGTGAAAGTCACTATGCGGACGACCGGCTGATTAAGAAAGGTAAAAAATAAATAAAAAACAATTATGCTGCAACTAGATTGAAACGAAAATGTAAAATATTAGTAATCGTTATTATGTTAATGATAATCGTTATTTAATAAAGATGATGGTTACATACTATTTAACGGATAGGTCATGTCCACGCAGTTCAAATGAATATCAGGCTACGGACTTTTCACATCTGAAATATGAGATTACTTGTTTTCGCGGAGTTTCCTAACAAATGCTTGTCATCAGTTTTCAATGATTTTTATTTTTGTTGCATGTTATCCCCCCTTAAAGTACACAGAAAAAAACACATAGTTGATCCAACTAAAATTATGGTTAATTTGGGGACTCAACAATTTTCTAGTTTGAATAACTAAGTAAATAGTTGGTGAAACTAAATGTTTAGTTGGGCCTACTATTTATTTAGGTATTCCAACTATGTATTTTTTTTCGAGTGTACGACTCGATGCAACCGACAGCCGCCGTGAAACCATAGTATTATTTAAAAAAATAATTATTCCTAAAAAAAATGCATTAGCGGAATACGCTATTTTTGCTGTGTTTAGTATTGTCAATAGTATTATAGTGAATACGGAAAATTAAAGTTTTCCGGAATGTTAAAAAAACAAAATATTCTCAACCTTTCATGTTGAACCCTTGTATAAACCTTACCATTTTTTATTATAACATAAAATTACAACTATCTAATCTAAGGAAGTGATATCGTTTCAAAAATAATTCAAACATACTTACAGAACAAATATTTTGTTTAACAATTTCTCGTCTGAATTAATTAAATTTTAATTGAAATAGGAAAAAAATTACGCACATTTATTTACTTATTATTGTTAAGTAAATTAATTATAAATAAAATAAATAAATACACTACTACTTAAAAACATTAAGTTTAACACGTTAATGAATAATGTTTACTAAACATAAGTTATGTCTTTTCCTTAAACGTTATCACTTTTTTTATCGTTTTACACATTATTAATATTTTATAAATCATTTCAAAATTGTGTATTTCATGACATTTTTAAACACTACAAATAAGAAAATATTTTCTTAATTAATTTAAAATTGGTCACCAATCAAGGAGACTTATTTAATGTTTATTGTAAAAACAGGTGGGACGAGAATTGCTTTATTTTGACTGAACGTGAAATAGTGCGCTTAACGCTATCACAGACATATATAATATATTATATAATGCGGTATATATAATAAGTTTTCTTTTCAGTATTATATTGGACAAAGATAATAGTAAGTATAATAATTTTTTAGGGTGCAAAATAGAGGTGAATTTTGAGATAAACAAAAGGAGTTGCCGTCTCAGAATTCGTTTGAGTATAAATATTCCTAATGATCGTTATCTTTGTAAATGCAATTACTTAAAAATACTGAATTAAACAAGAATTATCTCCTTTTAAATATGTTCGGGGAAATAGTTATTATCTTATCTATAACGAATCACCCTTATAATTCTTAGTGTTGGCATTTTGCATGTAGCTTTCTACAAATGTAAATGCCGACGTTAAAATGTGATATATGATCATGCTTAATTTTGCATAAAGAAACAGTTCTAAATTATAACGACAATATAGTTCATTAACTATAGGTAAAACGTTTTTTTATCATCCCGACTATACAATAAACAATAACATACTTTTTTTATTAATTCCGACATAGGTATTTGGAAAACCTAAATTTTGTTAAAATTAGTAAACTAAAAAATAAACTTTTTTTAATACTATGACTTGTAGTGTGAAGTATTAAAATCGTTATAGTTATCAAAACAGAGTAGTTAGTACAAGAGTATTGATTAAAAAATGGTCAAGTTGACAAAAATATACAACTATTTAAACGTATTAACAGCTATACACATATGTATACTAGGCAATAGTACATAGTTACATACTTTAGAATGGATTGTACAATGTAGCAACCAGTTATCTTCTTATCTGTAATATTGCAATACTACATATATTATTTATCATTAACATGTAACATAACTTTATATAATATTATAATAGGGTTGATTTAGAATACTAAAATATAGGACTTTCTCTACATTCTATATTTGTCATGCTATACATTTTCTAGCTGTGTCACAAAAAAGTTTTTTTGTATAATTTATTTTTTGCTCTAAGTTAATCGATTCGGAATTTTTGCAAACTTCTTAATTATTATTCAATGAGTTCCAAATAACAACTTGCGATCAATAGATGTTTGATAGACTACTAATTTTGTATTTGGTCTGTTTAACAGTACTATTTCAATAAACAATGTTTTTATACTTTTACTCGAAAATAATAATATTTTAATTGGTACGTTTTAAGCTAATAAAACGTATACTTTCATTGTAATTAAATTAATAACGATTTTTTTTCTAATGGGTCTTAATTTTAGTTTATAAGAATCTTAAACGCTAATGAAATTGTGGCGAGGTAATTTTGTGCATTTTTTAAAAGTACATCAGCAAAGTATTCCTTAGAGTCGATGTTATATAATAAAATTGGAAAGTATGATTTGTTACTGAAAAAACAAATTTCCGCTTTATATAGATCGTTTACCTACATAAATATTTTTTTTTGACGTATTAAGGAAAAGTGGTGATAGAAAGCCCATTCGTGTGAGTAGGTAGTGACTTTTTTTTATAAAATAAATAAAAGGGCATAACGGTAAATATATCGATTTTGGAGTCTCAGTTTTATAGCTTAATAAAATATAGACGGCAATAACGGCACACTCTCATTGTATTTTATAAGTTATTAAATAATATCAGCCATTAAAATATGTATTATAGGTTACTTTTACCTCATTTCGTTGCTTACACGATTCATAATGATCCACATGTCAATGACAATAATGATTATCATAATAGTTTTACAGAGATATTGGTTTTTGAAACAGATCAACCACCGCAAAATTAAGATCTTATGAAGTACCTTGTACACGTTTTTTTTTATTTATAAAAATCGCTATTGTTATAATACCAACCAATCGAAATTCAGAAAACTGTGTTGGTGTCCTACTAGAAAAATTATTACAAAATAAATAAAAACAATGGAAATCATTATTTGCTGCACAGTTCCGTTTTTAATAAAAAAAAAAAAAAAAAAAAATAGACTGTAGTTGTTTTAAATGAACATTTTTTTGTTTGTTTTATTATGGTTTATAGTAAACTATTAGTTTCTGAAAATGTACCAAGATAAATATTCAAACCGTAGCTCGGTTAATATAAAATAAAACGTATTTTTAACGCTGTACTGAAATGAATACATCAGTTTTTCCGAGTAACTTTTTGTGTTATTATAGCTTTTAAAGTTTTTATTTTTTGGTGTTATTTTATTGCTCTTAATATGTTTTGTGTTTATAGTGATAGTATGATTAAAAGGTTTCTTGGTAAAAATATTATAAAGAATATGACACGATGGGACAGGGTGATCCATCTGATGTAAGATACTCATTTTCTTGGAAAACATGAATATTTTATTTCTATACTTTTACTATACTTTGCAATAAGTACTTAAACAATTTTCGTCTTCGTTGTTTAACCGCAAAAGTTATATGGACTTCGTTTTTTTAAAATGAGAACATTTTTATTTTTTTTTTTTTTATAGCTTTTATTTTAAATATTATAGCTCAACAATTATAAGAACAACATATTTTTTAATTTTATAAATATGTGGCCAAAATATTTACTTTTTTAGTATTCTCCAGAGCACTATCAACTTTTTAAATATAAATGGGAACGTATATTTAATTAACTTTTTAAAGTTATTAACACATAACTTTGTGATTATTTCCCGAGAATATAAGTGTCTTACATAATGTGAATCAACCTATATTTATGTAACAAATTTGTTTTGCTAACACATCATTTTTTTGCTTTATAAAAATAATCAAAATTAAGTGTTGGCGTATTGTTAGGTAATAAAATAATAATATATCTTTATTTTCCAAGAACAAATGATATACTAGGGTAATTAATATAAAATCATTCAAAGTTCAAAGATAACTTCCAAATCCAAATGAGCCGGGCGTGTCGGAGACGAGAGTTCCAATTTTTAATAACGTTACTTAACTAAAAAATAATATAAAATATACAGAAAACATAGAAGAAGAATATGAGATTGTTATAAGAAAATTGTTTTGATTGACATTAGATAAACAGTTATAATAATAAATATACCTACTTATTTTACTAAGTACGATAGTGTTAATAAATTGTCATCTCTTTGAAATTAGTCACTATACCACTATACTATTATTGAACACCATGTATTATATGAAAATTATAATTTTGTTCAAGGATAACAGCTGAGCATCGGGGCCATGTCGACTGGTAGACACGAATCGTTCACGGCTGAATACTGCACCGGCGAAACAGTCACGCTGTACGGCCAACAGCAACAGACAAGTATCCATCTTCAAACGCACGCTAACATCAGCAATGTTCCGTTGAACCAAAGTAATTTTTTTTTTTTTCTTAAATTTTATAATATCCATTCCACCTCGAAACGGGCTACGTTTTGTTCAGGTGTCGCCTGACTTGAATTATTCAAGTTTTCAATAAAGCGCCTTTAATTTTTGCTAATTTGCCCGAGTAGTATTCCAGGGGTTTTAGCACCCCTGACCCGGCAAGCAAATGAGTATTCAAATTATCATCATAAAAAATAATCATGACACGTTAATCGTACACGAATATTCATCAAAACGCATTTAGTGTTGAGTTTTGGTTTTAACTAAAGATTTGATTATATTGTTCGTGGAACGGAATTGACAATTAAGTTGTTGGTTTTGGGTAACAAAATCGCGGAAACTATTAATACAAATTGTTATTCCGTTACTTAAACACATAACGCGGACAAACGAGATATTTCTACAGGAAATTGAAAGCAATTTAGCAGTTATAACGAACGAAACCCAAGTGTGCGTCGACAGAACCTTTGGCTCTTTGCTTAAAGGCAAAATACCAAGAACGCATTTCAGAAAATATTAAAGCTACGTCTCGAAGAAAATGTATCTTCATTTCAACCTCGGATTTTAAATTCGTTTAGGATGTATTAGATTAAACGTTTCATGCCACTCGTTTAATATTATGTATAACCAGTAATCGAATGTTAGTAAACTTACCGCATGTAACATTTATACAATAATACCGTCATACCTACTTGTGAGTATATTTTGAAAATCGTTCACGACAAGTTACATTATTATTTGAACAAATGGTATTCGTAAAACGCCAAACACAGCCCGTGATTTAGATAATGCCTAGGTTATTTTTCACGGTGAGATTTATGAGCCGCCAGCCTTTGCAATGTAGATACCTATCGGCGGGTAAATAACATACTTACAAGTTACAAACGTAGTGAACAAGATAGGACTTTATTGACAAATGGGATTTCGCCATAATGAACGCATGACTGTGAAAAATGATGTGTACTTTACAAATTACCTACTGCGATTCTACTGTTGTCATTTGAACCACATACATAAATTTAAATTCATACATGCATTACACATTTCATTATGTAACCGTTTAATATAGATCACAATCACTGCTAAAGTCTTCGTTACTAACATTTTATTTGAAAACACTCGATACTATAAGTATGCAGGTGATAAGACAAGTTATGTCAGTATTTTTTATTAATTAAAAACAATGTAACAATAAATAGAAGTAATGAATGATGTAATGGTTTTTTATTGTCTCTGTGAAACGCTCGCCTTGGCAATTTAACCCTTATTAGCTATTCACCACAGTGTGTACACTGTACACATACTATAAGCGGCATCTCTGCGATTCTTGAATTTTAATTAATCGTGTGAGATTTTGAAATTACACGTGTGCAGCTCGCATTACATTATACGGACCTTAAAGTTTCTTTTAAAACTTAAAATATGAATTTCTAGAGTATTGTTTTAGTTTACTTCTGGTGTGTATTTAAAGTTTGTAAGTATATAGCCATTACCATAATATAGAGTGTACTTATATATATATATATATATATATATATATATATAATATCGTTATATTTGTCTGAGGCAGTAATGTAACATAAAAGCGAATGTCGAACTGTAGTCGTATTGAATTAGAGAGATGAAAAGAAAACAAGTAAAAGTATACGAGTATGCGAGATTTTGTAAAGATTAGCTCACTCGAGTTAGGATCTAACTCAAAAACCCCATTTGAAATAAAGTAAAGAAGAACAGGAAGAACCCTGTTTTGACAATTATTTTAGATAGAATTTCTATGTAAAAAGGATAACGTTACCAAAGTAAGTTCGTTATGTTTTTGAACCTTCCAAGAAACGGTATTAATAATATTATAATTTCAATACCTGTTGTTATTGTAAGCTTTAAAACATTACATTATTTATACTGTGTTGATATTACTTTAGTAAGTAGGTAAACCAAGAGGTAAAAGTTTGCTTGAAGACTGACAATTTAAACTAATAAAATGGAAATACCATTTCAATTTTTAATCACAATTAAGACTTTACCCTTAATAATAAACTTATACTAAAAATAGAACTTTATTGAGCCAACAATTTAAAAAAATTCAGCCTTTCAATCAACAGTCAACAGACAATGAAAATATTCTCATTAAATTGTCAAGTACAATATATGGGTAACTATGGCAATACATTTTTATAGACAAACGATCAACCCTAATGGTATACACCCTAATACTAAAAATTATTTTTAAGCACATAACTTTCATTAGACATAATGCATTTATCGATATTTTTATTTTTATCTGTGAACACTGGACATTCCTTACTTACTCGCTTACTTCAACTACTCGGTTACGTAAAATACTTTCTTACTGTGCTGGTTAGGTTAGGTAGATTTGTTAGGTATTGCAGTTTATGTTTGTACGTGTGCTTTTTGTCTAAACGTCACAATACTATTTATACGATGTGCACTATGAATAACTGTAGGTTTTTCTCTTTCGAACATATTGATTAATTAGCTATTATTGTTTCTCTGTAGGAAGTTAGAACGCGTCATTTAATACAATAGCAGTGGAGTATAAAATGACGGCTGTGTGCTTTACTTTATTGTGTCCAAGACGTGTCGTTTAACTAAATCACGACCGTTTAATTGTATTTTCAGAAGGGGAACCAATTAAATTGCCGGATAACTTGGAAAGTTTGCCACGAGCCGAACATTTTCCTATCCAAAGACATCGCTGGAACACTAACGAGGTAAGTGGCTTTTAGTTAGCCAAAAATAATACAAAATGATTTTATATTGAGCACGTGTTTTTGATGCATTTAAAGAGACAATAATAGCTCCCACGATTTTGTAATCGTTACCTATACCTACCGCACCGACTACCATAAAAAAAATAACCACTTATACTTATGTTATTAACCATATTCTGGTATATGCATTAAAATTATAGTGATTCGATATTTTAAACAATAATACTTGGGATAACTCTCGTTGTATGCAGTATGCACGCGCATAATATTATTATAATAAGATAACATCGCAGTTATTAAAAGAATGCGCATAATATTATTATAATAAGATAATATCACAGTTATTAAAAGAATTTTTAAGTTATTTTCTAGGTATCAAAATATGAAATTATATTACATTTTATCAAAGTATTTTATAATAATTCATTAGGAATCCTTCTCCATGGAGGGGATAGCTTTTTCCGAGATATTATAATTATTATTTCTAGTAGTTTGTCAAAGTCATCAACGCCACGTGTATAAACAGTATAAGAATTTTCATCCAGATATACGGTTATTAAGCGGGTAAAGTTTTAAACAAACCAATATTAACTCAACTATATTATTATACGATTATATAAATGATAAGACATTAAGTAAATCTGTGACTAGTATTATTAACATAAAATAAATGAACTGAGTAAACCGCCGTTTATAAAATAAAAACGAACGAAACAATATATTAATAAAACTTATTTTCGCATTGTAAAAAAAAAATAACTATTCAGTATTTATTGATTGTATTTAAGTTGAATGTTATATTAAGGCTTAAATGGATCATCTTATACTATACACGAGGAAGCCAAATAAAAATATTTGACACCGTAGCTCTATAGTAAAGGGTTTCGCATCGTGCGATTTTCACTTAACAACTTTTCAACGGTTACCCCATTTGGTTTGGTTTATTTTTATAGTTTCATTGAACTTACAAAATACTTTACAATGAATAACCAATTAACTTTAGTACATGGAATGATTCTTGAAATAAAATCGCATAAATAATCGCATGTAAGTTAGGCTTAGTCGCGTTTGAACATAGTTAGTTTTATGCTAATAGTAGAACACTAGTTGCTAGTCAAAACTATACAACGACTCATATAATGTACACATCACGCACAATCTTTATTCTAATATTTTATTTGAGACATTTAATGATATTTATGAACTGTTTTGGTGTAATTCAAATCTAACTATCGAATAAGATATACTTTAGCTTATACTTTTTTACAGGGTGTTTTAGGATTCCATCTTAGAATAATTATTTACCGAATTTATTAAAGAAAATATAGTATTAAGTGATAAATAAAAAAAAACATACATTTATTCATAATATTTTCTGTATTTTAGAAATTTCAATTTCTCTAAAACATTCTATTGAAAATTATTTTTACTGTTTGCTGGAATGAAAAAACAATTATTCAAAACGTTTCTTTTTTCCCATTCCTAATTTGATAAAACTATTTTTTTATTTAAAAAATAAAAAAAAATAATGTTAGACAAAGAATGTATTATTCTCCGTTAAACATGTCTTGATGACAATTAATAGCATTGTAAAACAAATTTTAGAAAAATAATGGAACATATTATTTATTGTTTACATTATTTAACTCTTACATCAGTTAAAATTCTTTGTAATTTCAGATTAGTAATCTGATATTATACATTTTTTTTTCTCAAAAAGTTGCTGTATTATTTATTTAGGTTTATTATATTTAATGCCCAAGAGGCACAGCTTGTCTACCCCGTGCTGTCACAATTCGTACGAAATGTCAATTTAGAGTGCGTTTTCTTAGGGTTAGTCCACTAACTGCTATCCAAAGTGAATATCTTAAGAAAGGCTATAAGGGATAGGTTAGGTAGATACAGATGACTGAGTTACCGCTGTGCTGTCGTTACACCGGTTGAATATATATAATATTTAACTGTCTCATTGTTATGTTCTCCTTTAATACAATTTCCGAGGCGATGCAAAGATTGCCGACCGCGGTCAGGTGGAATGCCAATTTAGAAATGTTTCCCTGGATCTTATAGACCACTAGCTGATGTTGTCGTTGAAAATGGGCACAGGCTCGAAAATGGGAACATAAGGGATGGACCTCTTATTTCCTGTGTCGTTCCGCCGGTTGAATATAAAACGATCAAATTTATCGGATTTCATACTCTATTACACTTTTGCCCTCCCCTATTCCACCTTATACTCGCTCCCATCACGTGACTGACGTGCTCTCGATACAATTCAATTCCGCCGTCGTTCACCCGCCAGGCTTCACCTACTCCCACCTTTCCTTAATGACGCCCTTACACGCCTGCCCGCCATGAATGCGAAACACAATAATATTATGTATAATATGTGCACTGAAATTATGATAATCAAATGCACATCGGATTTATCGTTGGCTTATGCAATCTCATATTATTGTAATTGTGCATCGTTATGATTTGTGTACAGCCATTTTCAGTGTATACGATTCAATACTGTGCACGCAATAAGCAAATTTATTTGATCCACATTTTTACTCGTTTCAGCCTTTACTCCTAACTGGCCACTCCTATATTGTGTAATGGTACAGCGAGCTATTTATTTCTCATAAAATAATTGAAATGCTGTAGTTTTGCCTTGTTTGTGTTATTTTACAATATTTGAAAATTACTAAAATATTTACTCTTGAAACTTAAATGTTAACGTATTTATTTAATTTACTTTTTAAAAAAGAATTATTTGCTAAACATTTCGACTAATCGATAACCATTTTTGGATAATTACTTTTAAAAGTTACTGAAGTTTAAAATTCAAGACTGAAGAAGGGTGGAGAGTAATATTACTTTAATCTGTGCCCATTGCTCTACCGCAATCTATCTCTCGTCGTACATTTCAAACTTCAGTGACTTTAAAAGTAATATATTCCATAATTGGTTATTAACTGGTTATTTAAAAAACGAATTCAATACTTACGTTAAATTTGGTATGATTTATATACATATATATTTATATAAAAATCATACCAAATTGATTTGTCGAATGATTGATTTGTAATCTTTGAGTATGCTAACAGGAGTTTATGAACCGACCCTGTGTACGTCGAGAACGTCAAATCTACGTCGACGTAGAGTATAAAAAGTTAATATTTAAAATAAATCAAAATCGCTGATAGGATCGAAAGCAATGATATAGCTATGTATAAGAGGAAATAAATTGTTTCCCCTCGCCTAACTGTAGCCCACCCGGAAATATCACCGTCTCTCGAAACAATTGTAATAAAATAGTTCTATTTGCACGCCTCCCTTCCTGCCATGTCATGTGAATATTTGTTTGTTTTTTTAAACACAATATATATATATATAAAAACAATCAATTGTTCCTCGTTTCGATAGGAACACGGAGCTTTGCATAATGTCATCACTCATCAGTTATATTTCCATGGACGATTTCATAATAAACCGAAACAGTTTACTCTTTTTAAAAATAATATTATCGATATCAACCGTACAAATGCAACACAATAACGACATTATTATTGTACACAGCCGCGTACAATATTTTATTTGCTGAAAATAATTTTCGTGCCATTATCGAACTCATCAAATAATCATTAATCCGAAAAGCCATTTTATTACTATGTACTATTTTAATACATATTGTTGATTCTATATAAACGTTATAATATTATTTCAATAATAATAATATGTCTGGCTGTTTATTTTATCAAATCGAATTAAACGAATAATCACTTGCTATAAAACTGCCATGACTGGTCCAGAACTGAAATTTAAATAATAATGATTTTTTTTAATATTATCCTCCTTGATGGCACAAAAATAATGGAAATTCCCGGAATACGGTCCGGCATTTTGTATAGTTCTGCTTTGTCCGATTAACTCTACTCCGTTGTTAACTATGTCACTTTGTTTTGTCTCAGATTGTTGCCGAGATTACTGCCAGTATCTTAATTCAAGTGTATAGCCCATTGTTGACTTTCTTGTTCGTAAAATGTCTTTATAATTTGATTTACACTACAGTATGGTATCCTGCTATGAAATTATAACTCATGCCAATACATTAATTTTATAATGTAATGTACATTTCACTATTATACTTAAATGTGCCTCAATTTGATTTAATACAAAACGACATGATTAATATTAATTGGGTTATTTAAGCCTGGTCTGGTGGTTAGATAAAAATATACACTTCCCACCGCTTTGTCTATATGGAGTTTCTTCACCTGTTTGTTTTGATTCCATGTAAAAAGTCATTGACCTGTCGCTACTCTCTTCGTGTTTGACATAATATTAAACCAGCAGATTTTAAATTTAATATAAACAAAAATTCTTTACATTTTTCATTCTAACATCTCGTATGTTATAAATTCATATCAGCCTATTACCGTAATACTGAGAAGCTCTACTACATAAATGAAATACAAATATTTTAGAAAATGTTCTACTTCTTACCTCAACAATATTATGTACATTTTATGTATATTAAATAATTCACATTGGAAATCGATTCAAAAATAGCCACAGGGTATAATAGCTTATACTCAAGGAGAAGTTGCAAACTTAATAAACACTAAAATGTTATTGATATATTGATAATTTATAAGCGCATTTTTATTTGTAAACGCCATTAATACCGGATATTGTTTATTCGGTCCAACTTTTTTCTTAAATCACTAATGAAAACTTTAGATAATAGTAAAAAAAAACACTTATTTCTAAAGTTACAAAAAAGAATCATTTTTTTGCCACATACTGCCTACAATTATAATACAAACAAAAATACAATTTTCGTTTAGCACATCAGCTCTTAAATAGGTACATTTTGGTTTTTGGAATAATATACCCTTTTAAAGTCTATGTACGGTGCACATTTGAAACGATAGCTTAAGTACATCTATGCTATTTTTTAGCTGCATGTAATTAGTATACTATTATTATAATATAGAAAATTTAGTGCTTTT